TGGATCCAGAACTTCAGCTTTATGTGGTGAAAAACCTCATGGGGACGAGCAGAAGTGAAGGGAGCACAGCATTCTGCATGGATTTAATGAACTCCACACTTACAAACAGTTGCAGAGGCAAACTTTATATCATGTGAATTTTACCACCTTAAAAGGAGGAGGAAGAGGAGGAGGAGGAGGAAATGGCCCAATCTTGATTAGGCTCCTATTAGTCAAGGCTTCTGCTTTAGCTGGTTTCTTCCTGGTCCATAGGCTATAGCTCAGGACCAAGAATCCCCAGGAAGCCCTTCTCTGTCTGCCCAGGACTCCTGGAGCCACCTCATCATCAGGAGCTCCCACGGTCCCAACCAGGAAAACCAACCTCCAGCCTCTCCCCGGAGATCAGCTACTTTCTTGCAGTAAGAGCTGAGGATTCTGCTGGAGGAACTTGCTGGATTGCTAAGATGTAAGCACAGCGGACATTCCACTTTGTAGAGACCAGTGACCCTGCCCCTGTTGTTAAATACCAAGCAGCCACTGCCCAGAGCCACCCCACCGCTTGATCATTCCCCCTACCCAGCGACCTTGGCCCCAGACCCGCCAACCAAAGGGGGAACATCTGGCACAGGGTCCCGGAACCCCGTGCTCACCTCTCTCCCACCAAGCCATGCCACCTGTTGCACATTTTGGTCATGTCTGGCTCTGAGGTACAGAAAGGGAATGACACGGGGAACTCAGTGGAATCAGGGTAAAGCATAACAAGAGTCCTAAAAGGAAGACTTGTCACTTAATACCACCAACCTTCTCCCCAAAGCCAGGAACACCCAGACCCGGCCCAGCTGCTCTCAGCCAATCACAAGACCCCACCGTCAGGCCCAGCTATTACTGCACACTTTTATTTACAGAAAACACAGATAAAGCATTTCAATGTTCATTTAGCAAACTTGATTCACTCTTTTTTTTTTTTTTGGCACAAAGAAATATCACAATGGACCCCAAGATCAATCAGAAACTTAAAAGATTCATCAGCCATCACTGGTCCAGGGGCAGCTACAAGACTCAGACAGACAGACAGCATCACCACAGACTGGAAAAAATAAACGACGTCCACGTTCACCTCACAGTAAAACCTGCTCACCGACAGGCGAGGGCGGGCAGGAGGGGGGCGTTCTCTGTCCTATGGGAGGAAGAGGGCCAGGGCCAGGAAGCAGGGACCGGGAGGGACAGACCCCTTTCCGAAGTTCGAGAGAGGGGTCCTTCCGTTTTCATCCTCTTACCTGGTAGAAGTGAAACAGTGCAAAAACTACCATCCCCCAACCACTCATTCATTCCAAAAAACTTGAGAAGTCGTGTGTTGGGTGCCTCTCCTGGTGGGCCCATGTGCGTGCGTGAATGTGTGCGCGGGGCGCTGTAAACATCGTCCCCGTCCCCAGGAGACCCAACCTCCGAGTGTCGGAATGGGGGGGGTGGCGGACCCCACTTCACGTGCGCCCTCTGCCCGGTTCCCGTCCCAGACGAGTAGTGCAAATATCGGAGACAAAAAGGCAGAAGGGGGCGGCTGGGCAGGGGGCGGGAAGGACACGAAGACGGGGTGGGGGTGGGGAATAAGGCAACAGTTAAAACGGTCCCTTTAGCAAACCCGGCGCCCGCGCCCCGCGCCGTGTCACGCCGTGTCACGAGAAGGGGCCGAAGTCCCGCTCCTCCACCAGGCTGATGGCCGGGTTCTTGAGCTCCTCCTCCGAGGCGGCCTTCTTGTAGCCCAGCTGGGCCAGCACGTGCTGGCAGGCGTTCTGGGCGAAGGCCACAATGTCATACGAGAGGCGGAAGCGCCACTTCTCGGCGGTGGCCGCCGAGTTGCGCACGGTGCCGTATTTGTGCTTGCCCAAGGCGGGGTCGCCCCGCGTGTTGTTCTGGATCCAGCGGGCCACGTGGCCGTCCAGGGGGATCCCCAGGAACCCGTAGATCTCCTCGGTCTTCTTCATGGGGTTCCTGGCCAGGTCCTCGTAGCGCACCAGCATGTACTTGCCCTTGAGCCAGGAGGGCCGCATGAGGCCGGTGGACACGGAATTGGAGAAGTCCTCGCACACGGTGGTCAGCTGCGTGACGTCCAGGTTGTAGGGCTTCCTGCCCGTGCCGTACCAGAGCCGCCACAGCCGGTACGTGTCGCGGAAGGTCTCGCTCCGTGACGCTAGAATCCCCCGAGGGTCGCGGACCAGCTGGATGACCTTGAGGTTCAACTGGGGGTCTTCCACCAGAGCCCGCAGGTCGTTCACCTCGGGCACGCGCACAGTCTTGATGGCCACGTGGCTGCGCTCGCGACAGGCCTCGGCGGCCACGGTCAGGTTCAGCAGGCCGCACTTGCGCACGCAGTCCCCCTCTTCCAGGACCAGGTCGGGAGCCCCCGGAGGGTCGCACACGGGACGGGAGCAGAGGACCCTGCTGGCCCCGCGGCGGAAGATCCTGTCGGTGGTGTGGTTGACCGGGGGCGGCTTGATGTAGTTCTCCAGGAAGTAGAGGTCGCAGTCGTAGAGGCTCCTCAGGAGGTCCCTGCTGGCACCCAGCATGACCCTCCGGTCTGCGGGGCTCTTGCCCTGGGTGAAGCGCGGGATGAGCGTGTTCTGGACGTGGTAGAGGGGCTCGAACAGGTAGAAGACGTCCAGGTGCTGGTTGAAGAGCTGGCCCACGAAGGACGAGCCGCTGCGCGTGGTGGCCAGGATGAGGATGTGGGTCTTTCGGGAGAGGTTATAGGTGAAGGTGGGACCCTCCTCGCACAGCCGCTCTGCCAGCCCTGCCTCGGCCAGCCCGGGGCAGGTGTGGAAGGACTTGGCGGTGAAGGTGCGGATGGCGGTGTACTGGATGGCTATGGAGGCCAGCGCGAGGAGGAGGACGGCCTTCCAGGAACATTGCATGGCTGGCCACCTTCATGGGGCTGCTAATCCGAGGGTCGGGGTCTGGGAGCAAAGACGGCCTGGTCAGGCACCTCCCGTAGCCAGGGGCCTCCGGGGGCCCAGGGACATCCATCTCCCTCTCCCCCACCCTCTCTCTCACACACATCCGCAGCCCTATGGCCCAAGCAGCTAGCCTTTGCCGTTCTGTGAGGGACCCGCAGGACCTTCAGGGATCTACCCAACCTGGAGCCCAAGATCCCACCCAGAGATGGCTGCGGAAGCCTCCGGCCTTGAACTCTGGGCTCCTTGAAGGGGCCCAACCCCTACACTTAGGGAGGCCTCAGGCCACACCCTGCCACTCCTGACACCCTGCTGCCATTGCCTGGCCACCAACACGGTTCCCCAGCCCCATGAGCTGGTGCCCCCTCCCCCAGGTGGGCGTCCTTTCTCTGTGCTGTGCTCTCCAGCAGCTTGTCCCTGCTAGGGGAGACAGGCGTGGCGGACGCAGGTGCCCAGCCATCTCCAGATGTGATTTCTGGGCTCCTAAAGTGCCCTGGAGTCAACTGGCCTGAAACAGAGGGAGGGGTCCCAGAGCTGCTGAGAAACAGCCCTCTCCAGGATCTGGGGTCTGCTGGTGGCCATGGGCCTCACTACCAGAGTGGACTGCCGAGAAGATCTTAGCCCAAGGAGACAGGCCTGGCTCCTCCACGCTGGTCACCCAGAGCCTCTACCCTTAGTCCCTTAGCCTCTCTGTTCACAGAAGGGGAACCGGAAGGAGCCACGGGAAGCAGAAAGGGCCCAGGCTGCCCCAAGCATCTTGCAGGTGCCCCCAGGGAGGCCAGCTCAGCCCCCAGCCCCAGAGAGAGTGCTGGGGCTCCTGGAGCCAGTGGGGGGGGCCCAACACTTACCAAAGAGGCTGCTCCAGGCTGGGCGGTCCGCGGCTGCCCGTGTTCCCAGGCTCAGCTGGCTGTGGTCAGAGGTCCCAGCCTGCGCACCGGCCCTGTGGCCAGCGGACTACAGGAAGAGAGAGGGCGGACATTCTGAGGATGGGGTTGGGCTCCCAGTGTCCCCGTCTCCTGTGCCTTATGTCCCACAGTCTGCCCCCAGTCAGGCAATAAAGGCCCTGCTTTTCCCCTGTATTTATCATTGATACCAGGGTCTCAGCCAACCAGTGCCATCTAATCCCTGGGGTCTAGACCCCGGCACCCCACCCCTTCACCTACCTCACCCACCCTCTACCCTCTGCTCACACCAGGGCCCTGGGGGACAGGGAGCTGGTGAGCTGCCGGCCTCATGGACTGAGCCCCAGCACACCCCGGATTGGTTCTGCGCTGGAAATCAACAGACAAGTCTGACCTTTTGAAATTCGACTGGCTCCCGGAATTTGGCAGGGAGGGATGCGGGCAGGGGTTCGCCTCAGGCCTCTGCATCAAATGGCAGCTCCAGGAAGGGCTGTTCTTCCACCACATGGAGAGGAGCAGCCTCTGAAACTCAAAAGCAGAACTGGACTAGGCGGCGTTCCGGACCTTGACCCAGGTCCCAGTGAAAACACCAAAACCCGGGATCCCTCAGTTAGCATCTGTGGAGCACCTGGGAAGCGCGAGGCCCTGTACCCGGCAGGTGCAGTGTCAGCCCACAGAACAGGTGCGAGCTCACGCCGGAGGTCTCCCAGCACTCCCCCCCATGGCCCTCCTGGGAGGCTTGACTTCTGTTCCTCCAGCTTAAACACACTTGGCCTTCAAACACGCATTTGATTAATGTCCCCAGCCCATTTGTGGACTGGCACGAGAGGGGCTGGGCACTAGAAGGGGGAGCAGATTGACTGCCGAGGCTCTGAGCACATTCTTTCCATTACTGTCTGACTGCCCTTCATCTGTTCACGGTGACGGGTGGACTCAGGGCAAAGATCCCCCCAGCCACACCCTGCTGTTCGGCGCGACTCCTTTGGGAGCAGGGCAAGCGCATGCTCATTTCCCAGAGCTGCCAAGCACATCCACCTTCTGGTCCGGGTGATTCCTCACAAACCCCCTGGGAGGGGAGGGTCCTCGTTCCCATTGTTCGGATGGAGAAACTAAGTCTCAAAGACTACGGAAAAGCCCCTTCAGCCATTAAGGAATAGCAGAGGCCTGGGTCCCTCAGTCAGGCTTAGGCCAGTGCGCTGGGCTCTCACCACCGGCTTTGTGTCCCAAGAAAGGAAGAGGAGCCACAGCAGTCGCTTGCCTTGGAGGGGGCAGGGCCTGGGCTGAGATGGCAGTGGGCCCGCTGAGGTGCCAGGCCCGGGGGTCCTCGGCCCAAGTAACCCCGGACAAATGTGAGCGCCTTTCACGATGTGCGGGCGGGCGGCTGGGCCACTGAGTCCCGGGTCACTGGGGCCCGCTCTTCAGCGGCAGAGCCGTTCCACAGACATCTGCCAGCTCTCCAGGGCGGCCAGGCACCGTTCCAGGGAGGACTGGGGAGACGGCCCCAGGCAGGGCCAGCACTTGTGGGCACCCGTGACCCTCCTCCCAAGCTGCACTCTCCCCAGCACAACCCACTTTATAGAGAAGGAAGCTGCGGCCCCTCAGGGTGAAATAACTTCCCCAAGTTCACACCTCGGAAGGGGCAGGCCATGCTCTGAAGTCCACGCTCAAATCCACCCCCTGGATCCACTCCCTGATGCCCCCCAGACTTCACCCCCCTTGAGACTCTTCCGCAAACCTAGAGTTCCGGTGCCAAAGACAGAACGTACCCCGAGGGTCTTCCAAGAGCAGCATCTGGCCATCTTGCCCCACATCTCCACACCCCACCAGAGAGCTGAAGGCCAGTGCTGGGCACCGGAGGGGAGCGTCCCAGTCACAGGCCATGCCCAGCCTCCCAGGGAGGGCAAAGCCAGGGCATGGGAATGGAAGGTGGGGAGCCAGGCCCTCCTGGAAGTGCCCGGCTCCCCTGCCAGCCTGGCAGAGCCAGCCCCGTGCTGGCCAAGCCTCCTTGGTATGCTGCAGGCATCTGTCCTGGAAACCAGAGGACCCGGGGCCAGGTCCTGTGGTTCCCAAGGGAGCATTGGCCACTGAAAGAGCCCTCAACGCTCTCGTCCTCCAGGCCACATTGTGAGCTCGGGGCTCCTTCCTGGGCTCCAGCCGCCTCTGGCATGGGCTCCCTCCAGCTCCAGCTGGTCAAAGCCTAGGCAGAGGAGCCCAGAGTCTGTTCTTTCTGTTAAGGCAAAGGAGGGGGTGACCCCCACGCCCAGGAGGAAGCTCAGACTTCAGAGTCAGCCGAATCCCAAGGGGGGCAGCGGGAGGGGAGGACTGCACATCACAAAGCTAATCGGGAGCTCAGGGCTCGCCAGGAGCCAGGTCGGCCTAGGTCTGCCCCTCAGTGGGTATGGACATGTGGGCGATTCACCAGCTGCCGTGAGCCCCAGTGTCCCCATCTATAAAGAAGGTGTGACCACCTTCCAACCAATCAGAAGAATTGAACGAATTGCGTCAGTGTCGGACATTCAAATGTAATGGTTCGTGGTTGGGAGCTGGGTTCTGGGACCAGCTCCATGTCCCAGCTCAGGCACTTACCAGCTGTGGGAATGTGGATAGATTCCTTAACCTCTCTGTGCCTCTGTTTTCTCACCTGCAAAATGGAGATACTTATGAGAAGGTTGCTGTGGGACCAATGAGTTAGTGCTGTGCCTGGCGCAGGGTTACACCCAATGAAGCCGTTAAAAGTATCCTCACTAACACCTGCTTCTTGGGGAATCACCCTGCAGCCCACAGGGACTGACAGTGACAGTGAGACCGACCTCTATACCAACCCTCCTTCCCAGACCCCCTCCCTGCCGGGGAACTATGCAGAGTCCCGCAGTGGCCTTCCTGCTGCCCTCTAGTGGCCAAGTCCCGAAGTGCAGCCTCCTAGCCCTGCACTTGAACTGGGGCCCTGCTGTGGCCTGCCTTCCTGGGGGCTGGCTGCAGCCTGAGGCGAGGTGCCACCAGGGGAGGTGATGTTGCAGGAGGCGGAGAGGTGTGACCGAGGCATGTCCCTGCCCGAGGCAGCCCCTCTTCCTCAGATGCACTCCCAGAGGCAAGCCTGGACAGGCTGCGCTACCTCATCCCCCACCACCCCCGCAGGGAAGGGACACTGAACTCAATGTCACCCGCAGGAGCATCACACAGCCTCTGCCTTTGCCTGGCTGCTGAGTGACCTTGGTTCCCTGGCCCCTCTGTGCCTGGGTTTTTCCATAAGCCCAGTGACCGGAGGACTCCCGGCTCTGACCGTGGGGTTCTGTCCGCTCAGAAGTCCCCCACTGCATTCCCAGGGCCAGGCAGGGCCACCGTCACAGCAGACAGGGATCGCCCGTCAGCAGGGGAAAAGTCCAGTCACCTTCCAGAAGAACCCCGAGCTGCGTCTGTCCCCACCCCCTCAGCCTGATCTGTCCCCAAGAACCAGAGCCGTTGGTCGACAGAGAGCTGTGGCCTCCCTTCCTGCTCCGGGCACCAAAGCACTGCTCCTCACCTTCCCTGGGCCACTGGCCCCTTAAAAATGCAATCCCTCACCCCAGGAAACACCATCTGCACCCACAGTTCTGCACCCAACTGGAAGCTCCCCGGGCCTCCTGCAGCCCAGGCCTGGGCTCTCCTTCCTCAGAGCCAGCC